CTATTGTGGACACGATAGGTGGTGGGCCACAGTGTTCTCAAAATCTCTAGGCTAAGGGATTTGGTCATACAGCCTATTTGTAAATCAAAAATAGAAATCAACTGTGTGCTGATGCTTTTAAAAAGTCCTAGGTACTGAGAATGTAATGAGAATAGTCTAGAAGTCCTGATGGGGCATATTTATTAAGAGGTCACTTCACTATGGGCTTCATAGACTCCTGCTGCTCTTATAATCCCTGAACAGCGTTACATTACAGCGAAGGTAGAGCAATCCTTCCCAGAGTATGAATTCCATTGACATATAAATCTGATTTACATAGAATGACTCATATATCGTGTGAGGAACAGCACTGATATTCTTACATTGTACTTGTTGGTAGTAACTGGAAAAAGAAGGAAGTGAAGTCTGGTAAGAGAAAGGAAAAAGCAGAAGGCAAACCAAAAGTGTAGACGCAGCCTCATTTTGCAACACAGTGTGGGAAGAGAAAAACCCAGAACTCAGAACATCCCTGCTTGTGGAGGAAAGTGGCAGAGTGACAAGGTGAGCCTGAGAATCAGGAAGAGATAAACTTCAACTTATGAAAGTTGAAAAGCATCAAATATTTGGATGGAGATCTGAACAGAAGGCGTTCAAAAGTACATATCAACAGTACAGAAACCCTTGGAACATTGATTGAAAGTTTGGGAAAAAAATCCTGAAGATTGGGAAATCAATTGTATACTGTTTATTATTTAGAATTTAAAATGAAAAAGTATATTTCATTTATTATTTAGTGCCTATAAAAGTAACTATGAGGACTTTCATTACCTCATCTGCTGCCTGAGTTCTTTTTATTTTTTGTCAAAATGTCCTAAGCTTTTCAACTATAGCTTTTCCTATCATGGGGATTTTAGGAGAATATTTTTGGATCCCAAGTCTGGAAACATTAATATGATGGATGGTCTTAAAAGTAAATAAAATATTTAGCATAAGAGCTACACACTATAAAGTCAGAAAAAAATCTACAAACAGTAAGCTGTTACCATCACAAGATATAACCTAGGATGATGCCTGTCTCATAAGATGCTTGTCAGGTATGCCTGTCACAGAGCACGCATTTTCATGTCAGAAAACTACAGCCAGACTTTATTCAGAAGGGTGGTAGTTAATGTCACCACTCTGAGAAAAGGACTTGTATTCCATCCTCAAATCCTAACAAGTTGAAATTTGAATAATCTGTGTCAGTGTCTGCGTAGATAGTTATTATTCAGTTGAATATGAGAGAACTCTTTTGAGCCTTGGTTGAAATAGTCTACCAATACTACAAGTAACTGAAGTTGCACACTATAATTTTGTTGTATTTCAAATACAGGAAGGTGGATTGTGGAATATAACCTAAAAAATACAATAAAAACAAGAACAGAAAATACAAGAAAACATCTTTTTCTCTCAGGCCACACTATTGTAGTAGAAGTGTACATCTTATATGAATAAAATAATTGTAATTTTATTAATTTAGTATGAAAACAAAGATATAGATTTTTTTATTTTATTTATTTATTTATTTATTTATTTGAGTTGGAGTCTCACCCTGTCACCCAGACTGGAGCACAGTGGCCGCTCCCGGCCACCGCAGCCTCGACCGGCTGGGCTCCAGCGATCCTTCCA